TTTCTTTTACTTTGAATTCACTCACTTTCTTCTCAAAGTATATTATAAATTCACACACTGTAAGGCAGAATAGCCACGAAATTCAACAAAAAAATTAAAATATTAATTGCCGAAACAAAATATATACGACTATACCGCGCGACAGAGTTGCCAGACTGTTGACAGTTAACCACAACTTAGTGATCTCCATAAACCATGCCTTCGGCTTCCCTTTCTACTTGGTGAAGTGGATAAGCTCGCATCTGCCTAACAGATCATTCAGGGTTCTCTTTAACTTAATCACTTCGGATGAATTTACCGTGACATCTAGTGTCTCTCAAGGCAGTCACTTAGGAGTCATTTTATTTAAATTATAAATTAATTATGTCTTCTTGTTGATTAAATTCAGGCAGATCTTTATGTAAGTGTTAAACTGTTTTCTTCCTTGCCCTTGGAATCGCAATCGTGTCAGCTTTAACCTTACTTAAATAATTTGATTACATGGTACTCGCTAAATTTTATGAAATTAAATCTAAACAAATGCAAGAAGCTTTCTTTCTTAAGAAGGAAGTCATTCACTACTGAGCAATTCATTGCCTCACAAAACTTGGAATATGTTCTTAAATGGTTCTTTCGTTGATTTAGGGGTTCTATTTGAACGAACATTACGTTTTAACTTGAACATTGAGCTCTCTTTAAGTAAAAAGCAGTATGATTGCATAACGTTGTTATGCATCTACTTTGAAGTGTAGCAGAATTATGCAAATTCAGCACAGTTCTTTTGCAAAAAGAAAAGCCAGAACTATGTCACACTTCAACTGGCTGAGAATTGCATTTCGTAATGCAATGCGACGCTAGGCACCATAATAAGAGTAAACCGTAACAATTATTATTTGCTTACCCAAGCATTAAGGTGCCTGTAAAATTTAGTATTAGCAGCTATCCCAAAACTTAATAAAATTAATTGTTGTCTGAAAGCAATTCAACTAAGTCAAACGCTTTACTGAAATCAGTAATTATGAAATATAAGATTTAATAGCAAAGCTAGATGCTGAGTTAATTCGTTCAAAAAAATTATGTAAGACACTTAACTTGGCCTCTGTTCTAAACGTCTTGTCTACTTCCAAATTTTCGAATTCCAACACAGAGGGAAAATACCTTATTTCAAAAACTGATTAAAAGTCATTGATATAACACCACATAGCTCGACAAAGCATAGTTTAAGTATACACGACGGGAGCCCATCAGTTCCAGGCGCAGAACTGCATTTTAGAACCCTCAACCAGTCAAAAACATCATTTTCTGAAAAGACCAAATTAGGAGCCAAAACTTAGCTAGACATCGGATACGGATAGTTGATAGTTGAATAGGAATTAGACGCTGAAAAATTTCATCACCGAGATTTGAGGTTTCAATATTATCAGATGACTCAAAAGCCTTAAGCAAAACATGCGAGCGATATATGGACATTTTTTCTTTGGAGTTGACAATCTGCAGTGACGATTTTATGAACCGAAGGTATCTGCAATAATATTGGTGGTTGAGATAATTTTATCTATGCCGTGATGCATGGTACGCGGAGTAGTTGTAAGCAGAACCACTTTTCATAAATTTTTTGAAAAATTCATTTTTCCTATTTTTGTAATATTTAATTTCTTCAAAGGGTAAGGCCAACGAGGCTAAGAAGATATCGCAAATGCGTTAAAGTGGTGGTTTGGAATGATTTGTAATCAGCCATGCGTTTGCGGTGTAGAAACGTTACGCTCGTTATGGATTATCGTGAAATGATAAGATATCGCAAGCAACCTACGAATGAGTCGTTTGACAATTTTTATGAAGGTATTTTGTAGCTGACTGACAAATTAGATCAGCCGCTACGAAAAGCCACTCTAGTCGAACTTTTAAAAAGAAACTTACTTCCTGAAGTTCAACACGAACGCCTTTATCTCAACGTCCATCCAGTGGCCCAATTGCGCTATTTGTGCAGAAAACGCGAATTTTTGCTTGAAGATGTTATACTGCGGAGTTTGGTTCCAAAGGCACCAACCTTCTCTAAAAAGCCTTCCGAGCTTTCTCGCCAATTTTGAAGAACTGTCTCGTTACACCTTGGCAGTCACCTGTTTCCAAGGCGAGGTTGCTTGATCGGAATGGATGCAGACATAGCTAGGCTTAGTACATTATGGAGTGAAGATACTAAGGTTTCAATAATTCCAGAAGAGAAATCAAGCATAATGCCTGAAGTAGGACATTTAAGCAGTGAGATATTGGTTTTGTTGAAATCATAATATTTATTAGAGAAGTTGCATTTGGCACGTTAGAGTAGTTCATCGTGCCTTTAATAAAACGAATTGCAGCATGGTACGAACTTTCAGTTAAACTAAAAGGTAAACATCAATTTACAACTATCTCCGGGAAATTGGCAAAGCAGGTATCTAAAAGTCTGCTATTACAATTAGGAGTGCGGTTGTATTGAAGTGAATTACGATAAAATAACTCATTGACAAACATAATAGCTTCATCAGATATTGAAGTGGGGACCATACTGCCTGAATTATTACTATAACACTAAGTTACTTGTGGCAAATTGAAGTCCCCAACGCTATGATTATATCAGTATATTTAGACTTTTCGGCCACATCACAAATGAGGGCATCATGTTTCTTATACATAGAGATATCAGTAATTGAAGGATTATAGCATTTTCGCCCAAATGGCAATAAATTCACGTCGGGAAAGTAGAAAATTCAATTGAATAGGATGGGACTGCACTAGATATGGTAATTAAGACATCACCACCAGTGCGATTCAATCGATCCTTTCTGAAAACCTGGAAAGAATTGTGAGAAAGTTCCGACAAATTCAGGCGTAACCAAGTTTCAGTGAAGGCCAAACAGGAAAACTCCGTGCTCACTGAAATTCGGAAAATAGAGCGAAATTTTGAGTTTCGGCCCCTAACATTTTGGTAAATTAAAGATAAGGGGCCTGAAGAAACATTTAGGAGATAAGGTTATTGCTTTGGTATTTAGTTTTTTGAGGTCGGAAATACTGCAGAATTAATAATACGGGGACGATCCTAAACAATGAATTCCTTTATTAAGAATCTAGCTGGCCACAATGGTTCAATTAAAAAAAATTTCGATGTTTTTAGTCTGTACTAATACTTTAAAAGACGAAATAGTTCTAGGTTAAGATGGAGCCGATTTTAAAATTACACGCTTCAAATTGACAGATGCGACTTTTGCAACAAGGTAAGATTTCATGTTATACTTAAAAGTACCAGGCGTCAGTCTTGATACGAATATTGCCTTCCTGAGGGGTACTGTCGTTAAGCGGGCGTCATGCGTACTACAAATGATAGGATTCACAGATACAGTAGTTTGGATTAGCTAGAAAATAGAGGGAATGACCACACTTGCAGCTTATGCAATTTTCCCAGCATGCTGACCACCGGGCACACCTGAGTGGCAAGCGGGAGTGACGGATTTATCATTTTTAATAATATTCTTTGAAGATGTAGACAGAGTAGCCTGAATAGCACCACTAGAAGAGGACAACCTTGCCCACGAGGTGGCTTCCGGGTTTATTTTTACGAATACTAGATGAGTCAACGATAAAGCAAACGCTAACGTGCTTTGTAGGCGAGAATGGATTGACGAACGAGATTTAAGCAAAGACGGAGGTGAAGTACCGCACGCTACACTACGAGTTGGCCTTTTACAGGTTATGGGAGAAGGTGAGTGCTCTAGATAGCGACGTTCATCGAATATTGTCTTGATTGTTTCATATTTTCTGCGCCATGTCATCAAATTTTTACTTAATTCATAAGACCCATGTGCAAATATAAGTATAAGAGGATCAAAACTGTGCCTTATTTTGCCCCGACAGATAGCTTTACAGTATTATATATATTTTGGTGTAGCGTAACATTCTTAAGACTAGCGTAGAACCGCCGAAAAATAAGAGAATGTGCCACCTGACAGATCGGACAACTTGACGATTCGAGCTTGGGATTTTGAATCAGAGTGACGTGTGATATTAAGATCATTTTTGTAGTTAAGGGGTCCGAAAGACAAAAGGACACAATGGGGAGAGGGTAGCAAATCTCCGAATTATGGGTAACTAAATGTATTGTATAAGATTATTGAACAAAGCGAGTGTTAGTGCTAATTGAATAAACATATAGCTAATTCTCGGGTTTTTCAAGTTAGTATATGCCCTTGACATTGACACCTAGTGAAGTGGATGGTGATTATGGCGATAGGATAAAGCGATTTATGGAATAATAATGTAAATATAGGAAAGTTTTTGATTTACTTGAAGAGTTCAGATAGTTAGATAAACGATTTTTATATTGTATTTATCATATTTCTCCTTTGCTTCAAATTGGTGCTACTTTTCTGCAACTTTCCTTAGCGTGCTTAGAATTGCAGAAAATTTTTGAGAGAAGAAAGTAAAAGAACTTTTAAAATTGTTTTACATCTTAACTTCTGCATAAGTCTTAGCTTTCTTAGGAATCCATTTGTCTCTCACTGCTCTCTTTTTACATATTTTGCATCCATTATGAAGGATGAGGGCTATGTTCATTTTGTCAAAACGTTTATATTTTCTCGATCAACATCAAATTCTAATACATTTTAAGCATCTCCGCCTGTCAGCATGTGTAATGTCTGTTGCAAACATTCTCCTGGCACCCCCGGCACCCACACAAAGAACGGTGAAAACAACAACAACACCGCCAGCAACAGCATCAACATTTACATCAACAACACGAACGAAGACAACTATCACAATCGCAACATCATGAGCAGTAATCCCAATTACTACCACAACAACGGCAACGGGTGACCATCGTCGTTAACGCAAAACGGTTACAGATGCCACAGCCGCAACAAACTCAACAACAACATTAGACTATCACAACGACGGCGTCACAACACCCACGATACAACAATAAATCACCCACAGCCAAGGGTCTGCCAACCGAATACGCGCTCATAGCGGCACGACCCGTACCTCCCTGGCCAATGGTCCGACGAGTTAGTCGAGCTGGAGTCTCTGACAAAGAGAGTTGGATTCTAGTCTCCGACTAAGTAAGTCGCGTTGTAGTCGTAGATGTAGGAAGTCGGTTTTAACTAAGTAAAGTAAAGTGTAAGAGCAAAAGTGAGAAAAATAAAGGTCCCTGCAACCAATAAATTTCTTGTGTGTTTCCATTTCCATGGGCCGCTGAGCTGCCCCAGCCATTAGGAAGGGGCCGGAAACGTCCTCACAATATATGTAGCACTTAACATTCCAATATTAGATATTCAATTTTTCACAAATCAACAATTGCTTCTTGTCACATGAATTTGAGGTTAATTGTTTTTTCTTAGTAATCCCATGGAAGAGGTAATAAAACTAAATTTTGTTTTTTAAATAAATCAAGATATTATTGAAGAAAGTACTTGTAATATAAATAATTTTACGTTTATTTCACAGTTAATAGAAGAGTTAAAAAATAATTTTAACACGAATCTATAGATTTTACTTCTGTTGCGCAATTTTAACGTCTTCATATAAATATGTGTTGACTTATTTTCTTCTTACATTGTGATAAAGTTGACGAGTATATTGCGTTTGTAGTAGTCAGAAAAAAAATACCAATTTAAGAAATATGTTTGTCTTTTGCTCTTTTTGCCCATTCATGAAAAATTTCATTAACATATACATTTGTCTGAATTTTATCTGATTTTTTATTTTTGGTAAAAAGTACACAAAAAATTACCCCATCATGGCCGTAAAATTCTCTGTTTATCTATATATATAAGAAGATTATGTACTTTTTTGAAAGTGGTTCAGGTTAAATATAAATAACAAAATAAGTTAGAGAGAAATACAAACTATGCTCTTGTGTGTATTTACGATTTGAGTAGAAAGAAAAACAGAAGAATTTGCAATATGTTTGTTAAATCCAAAATTTCACAGCAATACTCCGAAAGTTTACATAAAATTATTTGGAAAGTAGAACTAAAGTTCATCTTATAACTGTCTTATAGCCAATATTGGCTATGTTTGCAATGCAGCCGTCCATTACTACCAACAGCCCATCAAGCACTTAATTCCCGTCTTTAATCGATGTTTAACCAAAACATACGTCTTTCATCCCTGTAAAAGTACAATTACAATTTGTTGACTAAGTTGAGGAGCAAATGAAGGAGGAAAGTTTACATGTGCTAGCATAAGATATAGAATAAGTTGGAGATTAAGTAGGATAAGAATAAGCTAAGGTAGATTAATTAGGAAGTTAAAGTTAGTAGGTGAGTTGTGGAGTCGGTCACGAGCGCCGAGCGCGACGAAACATCTAACCCAGTAAGTACGGACTGTTCTTATTTTCGTTATTATTGTTGAAGTGAAGTGAAATATCAGAGAATAAAGTGATTAATATTATACTGAACAATACTATAAATTTCTTGTGACTAAATTCCTGGGCCACTGAGCTACCCCACCCCCGAAAATGGGCCCTCACAGTATACAATAATTATTTTATATAAAAGAGAAAACTAAAATTGGGCCAAATGGGTACAAAATACGATATCACACATCGCAAATATCATACGTTACATAAAAGAAGCATCTTTGACATTGCTGTTAATGAGCACCCGGTACGCTTGCACATCGGGTCGGCGTTTCATAGCGGCCGTCCGGGAAACAGACCTCGTAGTGTCTTTAGCTTTCCAAGCAGGTTCTTTGAAAGCGCTGTTAATGGTAAATAGTTAAAACCAATATTGAAGAAAAATGTTATTCTAAATAAATGATTTTAAATGTCAGCAACACTTCGGACCAGTCCCTACACATATGTTCGAGCCTTATAATAAAATTTGAGGCTAAGAAATCCGCTGACTTAATTCTCTTCGATGTTAAAAGAATGTTTAAGCGTTCGGCTTAACGATGTGGTTTCTTAAGTAAAATCTCTTAGTGTTCAACTTCTAGAAGTTAAGAGAATCAGGAAGACTTTGTCTGGCAGAAATATCTACGTATATATTTTAGATGAATTTTGCAATTTACTATGTATTCCTGCCGTTGATCCGCGGGCATTTGTTCTGGGCTCAAATTCACATTCGATTTTCTGTTTAGACTTCCCGAAACTTAATGCTTACCATTTTGTGTGATATTTTTTCCTTTCATTAGTTAAGTGCTTGATAAAATCATATTCAGCACATATAATACGCTTTGTACGAATGGTAGTATTCTCTTAATGCAACCGTCAATTTTAGGACACACTCATATGCAATGCCCACAAAGAAGTTTCGTAGATCTCACCAAGTATATATGTTTTTGATCAGCGTCAAATTCTGAGTCGATTTAGGCTTGTCCGACTACACCTCTACGTAATGTGCGTTGTAGACATTCGCCTGGTCCCAAAAATGAAACTATCGGTATCCAACTTGACAGACACATTGGAAGTTCTCGCACATAGGTTCGTATTAAGAATAAACTGTACCATGTAAAGTGAGGAAACCCCCGTTTTCGAAAGAGAAAAAAGGTTTTTTGTCGTTCCTCACACTTGCATCAGCTAAACTTCCGAAAATTTGCAAGTATATACTGTGGGCAGTATTATATGTTGCAACTGTAAGAAAGTTGAAAAAATCGCCCATGCGTACCCAATATTATAGTATAATAAAATTTCATTCCCTTTTGCAATATCTTGTTAACGGGCAAAGCCAACTTTCAAAAATCTCTTGAAGAATATTCTTCACCGATGTCAAACTCGAAACGCACTTCAACATGTCCGTCTGCGAAAAACATTATCCGATTTGAAAAGAAATATTTTATAACATATGTACTTTCTGAGTCATCGTAAGCAGCAGATAATTAAACAGAGAAATACAGGGTTGATAAGAACATTATGGCGATGTTCGACAGCCTCGTACTTGTCGATTTGCAGTATCTAGCTTCTCTTATTTTATAACCTATTTATTTGTGACTGCTTACTTATAAGACATAAGGACCCTGAGAGAATGGAAGTATACCTAAAATAGCAATTGATAATACTAAGACAATTACTCCTCCTAATTTATTAGGAATAGACAATAAAATTGCGTAGACGAATAAAAAATAGCCTTCTGGTTGAATATTAGGAGATGTTACTAAAGGATTTGAGGGAATAAAATTATCAGAATTTACTAATAAATTGGATATAGATGAAGGACTTCATTAACTGATTTAGTTAAACCGATGGCTTACATGAAATCAATTATAGCTACAAATAATTATCACTATCCATTAGGACAGCAGAACCTAGTGTGAGGTATCATCAATTCGGAAAAGCATTGTTCTCTTTAAGAAATTCTTCTTAATTCAAATTCTCATTAATTCAAATTTTTGGTCTATATAATAATGGAAACTTTATAATTTCTTTAAATGACTAAATTAGGAATTCTTTAAACTAAATTGATATTAATTCAAGTTTTTGCACTTAATGATTAATCTGTAATAAATATAATTAATGGAAGGTTATCTATTATGTATAAGTTGTACTAAAGCATTGAATCAGTCAATGACATTAAGGTGGCAACTAAACGTTAAAACGAAAGAACATAAAATAACATTTTATGGCAATTCAGCCTTGTGAAAACTGAAACCGTTACGGATTTATGCTAAGACGTTAGCAGAACTGGAGGAATTGCTAAACATTTATTTAAAACCGCAATAAACTTACCGGTCTCTAATTACACCTAAAAACAAAGGCCAACTCATTTTTAGTCCAAAATTATATTAATTGATATAAATCTTGTTTTGTATAAGCATAATTTTCCGTTGTGCTGGATTTATATGAGCCTCAAAACTGGTCTTGCCACGCGAGGTCAATGTGGCGTGTCACCAACAAAGTGTATCTAACGCCATAATCACTCCTAAATTTATAAAAGCCATAAACCATAAAGCACAATTACGTGCCATAATGGACTGTTGGCGTCTACTTTTCACTTTTTACTTTCACTTTTCACCGTGCGAACTACGCTTGTATAGCTAGAAAAACATTTCGTTGTTGCTAAGATTTCACTTATGAATTCCATTAAAGTAGCTATAAAATTTTTAAAATTGCTCAAGTGCGAATACTTAACAGTTTATTGCATCATAATAAGAATTTAAATATGAATATAATTTTTAAATGCAACAAATGTTTTTTTTGAGAGTTCAATTTTTATTCTATGTAAGAGTTCTTCGAAACAAATGCTTCAATATTCTTGATTTCGTACATTTCCTCTTAAACGACTTGAGTGAATAAAACATGACTATTCTTTTGGGTTTTTGGAGATATGTATGAAACCCTCTTCTCTGAATTATGGTACAATAAAAGATTACAAAGTGAAACAATTTATTGGATATTTTAATTCATTTCTATATCTGAAAGGAATATTTCTAATAGTTTTAATTTGCTTTTAATAAATAGTAAAAAACTTTAATAAATTGCCTTTATAATTACGTTCATTGTCTGCTCTCTCTCTCACTCTTTATGTCTATTGGCGTGCACAAATGTGCAGAGATTTCAGCGCCTGCCACGCGTTTATAGATATATATCTCAAATTTTAAATTATTTTATCATAAATGCCGGCGGCTTTGCAATTTAACAGATTCTTTCATTATAAATGCCGACGGCTTTGCAATTTAACAGATTCTTTCATTATAAAAGCTGGCGGCTTTGCAATCTAAAAGATTCTTTCATTCAGAACTTCGAATTCTGGCAAATTAAAGGAGAAGTAAACAAGCGAACCTCGAATTCAGCCAAATTAAAGGAGAAGTAAACAAGCGACTTGGAATTCTGGCAAATTAAAGGAGAAGTGAATGAGCGACCATTTGTTAGAATGTAA